GCACCCCTGCATGCCAGCTCCTGGGCACCCATACCACTCCAATACCTCTGCCACCCCTGCAATACCCTAAAGTCTGGCATCCCTACAACCCAACACCCCTGCAAACCAACACCCCTGCACCCTGGCACCCCTGAAACCTGGCACCCAGCACCCCAATGGGACCCCTGTGTTCCCCTTGGCTAGGGGCAGGGTGGAGAGGGACACCCCCATGGCCTCACCTGCACCACCCTCATGTCAAGCCCTGTTTCGGAGGAGAGCTGCTCCCGCACGTGCCGGGCGGGCTTGGGGGAGTTTTTGTAGGCGTTCTTCAGCGTCTCCAGCTGCTTGGCCGTGATGGTGGTCCTGGGCCGCTTAGCGCCCGCCTCAGAGTCATCTGCAACCAAAGGAGCCGGACTGCAGCAGTGTGACCAACTCGAAACCACCAGCCCACACCACTGGGGAAAAGCTCTCCAAAACCAGCTGCCCCAGAGCCCGCAGTGACCCCTTCCCGCAGGTGACATGACCCACGGCCACCCCTCAGTGTGACATCCCACCACGTGGCCCTTTCAGGGTGCTTACCATTCTGCTTGGCAGTCTCGTAGTCCTCCTTGCAGACCAGCCGCCCGTCCTCCATCAGGTAGAACTCATCACCCGTGGCCAGCTGCCGGCTGCAGATGATGCAGGCGAAGCAATGGAGGTGGTAGACGAAATCCTGGGCTTTGCGGACCACCTGGGTGGGGGGGATGCCCTGCTGGCACGCTGTGCATTTGGTCCCAAAACGCCTGCGAGGAGAAGCCAGAGACCCTGAGCCCTTCAGCAAGGTGGGCTTGGGTGGAGATGGGGTGGGGAACCAGGAGACAGGGCAGAGTTTAAACCAGCAATCAACCTAATTATGTGTGACACTTCACACGGCGGGGCTTCATCTTCTTCAGCGGGAGAGACCGGCCTAATGGAGCTGAAGAAGGTTTGATTTTAATGGTTCTTTTAACTAATGCTTATAGGCTGCCTGCTTCTCCCCTGCAAGGACAGTACGTATTTCATTCACATTAACACCAAATAAATTAATTACGCCGCCCCGCTGGCATGATGAATCCCAGATTAATGCAGAATGATGGGACTCTTACATGGTAATGACAGCACGACGGGTGCGTCTCGTGGGCCAGCTTGGGGTAGGTGTGGGCCCAAGCAAGCCCACCAGCGTGGCTGCAAGGAGCGTGCAAGGAGCGTGCAAGGAGTGTGCAGGAAGCGTGGGAGAAGCATGCAAGAAGCCTACAAGAATGGAGCAAGGAGCATGGAAGGAGCGAGCAGGCATGGAATGGTGTGAGGAGCATGCAAGGAGCTTGCAAGGAGCGTGCAAGGAGCATGCAAGGAGCATGGGAGCATGCACGAATGGAAGGAGAAGTGTGGAAGGAGTGTGCAAGAAATGTGCAAGGAGCACGTGAGAAGTATGGAAGCAGCGTGCAAGCAGCGTGCGAGAATGGGACAAGTGTGGAAGGAACATGCCGAAATGGTGCAAGAAGTGGGCAAGGAATGTGCAAGGAGTTTGCAAGAAGCATGCAAGAATGGGGAAAAAATGTGGAAGGAAGGTGCAAGAAGTGTGGAAGAAACGTGCAAGGAGCATACAAGAACGGTGCAAGAAGTGTGGAAGGAGCATGCAAGAAATGTGCGAGGAGCACGTGAGAAGTATGGAAGCCGCGTGCAAGGAGCGTGCAAGAATGGGACAAGTGCAGAAGAAGCATGCAAGGAGTATGCAAGCAGCATGTCAGAATGGTGCAAGGAGCGTGCAAGGAGCCTACATCTCACCCAGCAGCCCCTGCAGCTCACAGGCACTCTGCTGCAGAGACCCTGGGGTGCCCATGGCTCCGGGTGCACCCATGAGCTGGGTGTGCCTGTGTGGGTGCAGCCGGGGCTGTGGGTGGGTGCAGTTGCCCTGTGCAGACATGGAGGCTAACACCTGGATAACAACACCTGGATAACAACACCCAGTGTAAACTGAATTAGCGGTGCAGGGGTGACATATGCCATGAGGCAAGAGCACAGGAGAAAGTCAAAAATAAGCGGGCATCCCACTGGTGTTCCCAGCAGCAGATGCTGGAGCTTTGGGATTGACATGGAGCAGATCCCCACCTCCCACCGGCACCACAGGGGCTCTGCTGTGTCTCCCCTGCTCCCCCAGCACCCCAACACACCCCATCATTGGGGTGCTGGGACCCTACGGAGCCATCCCCCAGGCAGCAAAGCTCTGGGGATAGCTCTGTCCCCTGCACCTTGCCCAGCCCCATCCCTTCGCAGGAGGCAGCCCAGGAAAGCCCGAGCCCCTGGCCCCAGCCCCGTGGCTACAGGGACAGGCGGTGGCATTCAGGGTGGCTGCACCCCCTGGCATTTCTCACTGTCCCCCCCTGAGGGATGAACACCCCTTGGTCACACAAAATCACCCCATGAGCCCATGACTGCCCGTGCCCTCACACAGTCCGGAAAGCCGGGGCACGGCCACCAAAGCTGGGTCCCTGAGACTGTCCCCAAGTCACACAGGTGTCACCCAGGGGTGTTGGGAAGCAGAAGGCAAGGAGGGAAAACCTGTTTTGTCTCATTTTCTGGGCTTGTATCCTAAAGGGAGAGTCCCCAGATCTCTGCTGGGGAGAGCTCAGCTATCCTGGAGTCAGCTGGGAGGGAGGAAGGGTGGGATGGGAGAGGAGGGATGGGATGGTAGAGGGAGGGAGGGAGGGGATGGGATGGAGGGAAGG